CTGGATTGCCTATACAAACAAAATACACATACTATTACAAAAGTATAAATTATTATTTGACAGTAGTTTTGAAATAAAGAATAACTGGAAGCGAGTACTGTTTATTTGAACAAGACAGGTTTGTGCATAGAATTTAAAACATAATAAAATCTTAAATCTAATGCATTTTATAGTAGACTAATAATTTTTAAAATGGTCCTTAAGCTTTATTTTGAAAAAAAAATCATTTTCCTACTGAATGAGCGAAATCATCTAATGATTGGCGAGTGAAATCCATTGTGAAACCAGTTAATTATAGTGGTAGATCAATCATTATATCGCTGTTATCATTATTCAAATGTGAAGTGCTTATTTAAAAAAAAATATATTTTTTTCTTTGACTTATGGGCTTCAAATTTCATACTGAAGGCAAAATAATTTAAAATTACGGAAACGTCTCACAAATGCTAAGTAAATAATTGAAGTTCAGTATGTTTGAACTTTCATTATGGCCAAGCCCCCCAGTGGCACAGCAGTATGTCTGCGGACTTACAATGCTAGAATCCGGGTTTCGATACCCGTGGTGGGCAAAGCACAGATAGCCCATTGTGTAGCTTTGTGCTTAATTACAAACAAACATAACTACTCATTATGGCCACTTCAAATACTATGTGACCATGAGTAACAAAATAAACATTTTGTAACGACAGGGGAAAGAATGTTGAAACCTCGGCTAATTGAACCCTGTATATAGAAGATGACATAAAACGTTACTTTAATAATCAGACATCAAGAGGTACTCGATAATCTGTACCTAAAAATCAAATCCGAACTTGGTTGCTTGATCAGTCCAAGTAAGATTCTACAACATACAGTTGAGAGGTAAAGTGTATTTGACATTGTAGGAGTTTGAGAACTGTAGAAAAAAAAAATATTTATCATAGAAATTAGTAACTGTGACCTTGATGTTTCACAGTTTGAATCCAATGTTTAAAGCTTCAGAATTCACATTGTCAGAGAGTTTACATTATTTTCACTCATTTCATAGTTATTATAAAAATAAACAATACAGAATTAATTTCCTACGTAGAGTGCGTGAGCCAGCTAGGACAGGGATGCTTATTTTTATAGGTTATGAAATGTAAGAAATACAGTCTTGGCCACAATGTTTGCATATTTTGTAACAAATAAGATCATTATTATTAAGATGAATACAAATACACCTAGTGCTGTCAAACTGAGAAATGCATGTTATACTTAACATCTACATATGTAGTTTGTGTAATGGGACAGATTCTATGGACATCATGAACGATTTATTAAAACAGCAAATAATTTTATCAGACACCTGTAGAAATATGTGTACTACAGCATTTCACCTATTACAACAAAACCTTACCAAAACATATAACATTAATTATAAATAGCGTCTGTAACCTTATATCAGTTCATATTAATCAATTAATACTTGGTTGATTCTCCTCGTACTCTAATAACCTCCGCAAGGCGGCGTGGCATGCTATCGATGAGGCTATTGATGTAATCCACCGTGATTTCATCCCAACTTGTCACTAGAAGGCGCTGCAACTATGCTACAGTAGCTGGTTTATGGTCGTGGTTAGCAATTTTCCGACTCTGTTCTGCCCAACAGTTCTTAATGGGATTAAAATCTGGAGATTTGGTTCGCCATGACATTCTTGTAACTTCATCCTGGTCGAGATAATCTTGTACAATGCCCACACTGTGGGCAGAGGCATTGGAACACAAAATTATTGCCAAATCTTACCTTAGCATATGGCAGAAATATCGTCTCCATGTGATGCTCGTAGGCGGCGCCATTGACGTTTCCCTGAAGGATACGAAAAGCAATTTTCCACCATGATGAATTGGCGCCCAAATATCTATTGCATCGTCTCCCGTGTATTTCCTGTGGGAAAGGCAGTCTTCCCTCATTTTTTCTCCAGGCGAACGACAAACACCAGCTTTAACAAGTCAGAAACAGGGTTTACCTGAAAAGATGACATGTTGCTAGTGTCCTAACTGTAAGTTGGCGCGCTGTCTAGCCCAAGTAACACGGTAACGGCCTTGAAAAGATGACATGTTGCTAGTGTCCTAACTGTAAGTTGGTGCGCTGTCTAGCCCAAGTAACACGGTAACGGCCTTGAAATAACCTCATTTGGTCAGTCTCCTCTTCAATGGCCTTCTGGATACCCTGGAATGAATGTCTTCATGCCATTCCTGCCATATGGTGTTATAAGACTTCTTTCGACCATGATGTGTTAACCTGAGCAAAACACTGTCATCTTGGGCAGCAGTTTTTCGGCGTTTACCAGTAGACTTTCCTGGAACAAAGTTTCCTGTAGTTCGATGACGTTTCAGGATTCTGGATATAGTAACTGGGGGTGCACTACTGTTCTGGCAATGTCTGTTTGCTTCATACCATTTCTGGACAGTCGAACAATTTGACGCCCTATAACTTCTGGCACGTGATGAGGCATGACTCAACACCAAGTACAGAGAAATTGTCTGAACAAAGCGTTGATCTGTTTTAATAAAGTTTATACCAAAAACACACCCTTTTATACAACACAGGGTGGGAATGAGTGTGCTGACGAACGAATGCTCAAAACAATTTATACCGACCAGAATAACAACTCGTAGATGTTTGTCCGATCATATGCTACCTTCTCTGTTACTAACTCGGACAATTACTCAATAACTATTCCATGCATGCAGACAAAAACATCAACATAGAACAGCATGCATTTTGACTAAGGCTGTAGTTATAAAACTTTCACATGTCATTAAAGCTTGTCTCTGTGATTTTGTTTGTTACTCTATAACTTGGTATTCGGGATTTTCGAAATGAATGACCAGACCAGATATCCAAACTTCAAACATAGCCATACCTCATTTAGAACTGTTACTCAGAGAGAGGGAAACCAGGCAGTAGCACCCGCCACATTCATGATCATTCTTAACTGAATAGTGATAATGACTCTTACAATTATACCGCTTTTCATGTGGAAAGTGTAAGTGTTTAGCGTAATATCGCTGCTCGAGCCTTGGACCATATAATCCATAGTCCTACATGCACACCATTACAGCAAGCCAGGTCGTACGATATAACAAGTGTGCCGAATTTAATGTGTATTACTCTTAAAATGCTTATAAATGAATTTTATATTATAAATGTCAAGGCATGTTATTGTCCTTCGTAACTTTTAAGCAAAGTTGTACAAACGAGGACATAATATAAGTAAATGTCAGTAAATTGACATATTTTTAAATACCCCCCCCCCCCACAAAGAAACAAATGTGCTATACAGTTTATGTAAAAGTTATCCTGATGTTTTTCCTAAAAAGATGGTTGGACACAGTCAGTTTTTAAATCCTGAATGCTTAAATAAGTATGCACAAATTTTACCTTTAAAATATGATACATTAGTTCACGTACAATTCGACGAATGGGGAGGACATAGAGACTTCGCGGAGATGACGTAGGGTGATTAGGTTCAATAAAATAGTATGAGAAACACGTAAGGCTCACGAAGGGGTTTAGATCCGAACGCCAACCAAACTATGTCACTCGTCAGAGAATCGTGAGGTTCATGCAAGTTTCACAATTTCTGTTTGTTAATACTTGATAGGAATATTCTTTTAGAGTTTATTAACAGATGGCTAAGAAACTGCCAAGAATTCTCAGAAAATTCTTTTTTTTCATCCCGCACGCGAAATAATTATGTTCTGATTACGTGTGAATGGGACTAGGGCTGATTGGTAAAATATTCTGATTGTACTAGTTATTGGGCGAAGGTTAGTTTCTGGGGCAAAGAAATGGCAAAGGTGAAAAACAAAACGAGATAAGTGCTGTAGATCGCCTTGATGTAGAGTCTTAAGGACTAACGAAAGTTCTTCTGGTGGTTTTATGGACCGAAGTTTACAGACTGACTGTAGGAGGTTAATTGTACGACCATTTTCAGGGTAGCGAGGATCAGATTGTGATCCAATGTCATAATTTAGAAGTGGGGATTTGACAGATGTTCCAGAGGTTCGCTATTTATAAACGGACGTACACACGCACGCACACAGACTTTTGTCAAATAATGGTTTAGATTTTTACAAGATCTTATTTGATTGATTTATATTTCATATCCATAATTTGAGTTATAATAGAAATTACTGTTAAATTAAGTTGTGGGTTTCAACTAACAGTTATCTCAGAAAAAACAACAACAAACAATCAAAGCGAAATAGGTAGTTTGAAAGCTTTACGTAGGTTTAGTGTTTGAAATAATTATCTCCTCCCAAAACTTAAAACAGGTCATTTGATGACTTTGCTCAACTTAGGCTTTTAACAACCTCACAACAAATAAAATACAATAGACATATAATTTGATGGATTTTCTTGGTTTTAGGTTTTGAACAAAGTATTATTTCCCTAAATATATGTTTCGAAGATTGTCTGCCACTTCATTATCACTCAAACTTGTACAGAAAAAATAATAAGTACTTCTAAATTTCAAACAAAATCCTGCATAAAACGACCCCTGGTGCATCTATAAGTTTTAACCGTATGTAATTTGAAACTAAACACGAAGTTACTGTAAAGTGAAGGTAAGCCTAAAAACTAACAAGGCAATGCCCATATATTCATTTTTACGCAAGCTACAGGTTTTTACCCAAATTTATTTGGTAGATATTTTATCGAAATATACATGTAAAAGTTAAATAAAACATGATACAGTTAAATTTTGGTTTAAAATATTTTGCATCTACAACGTACGGTATGTAATAAACATAAATAAAAGCTTAATTTTTGAATTAATGTTATTAGTAATGATCTGAAGATTTTTGTGTCTAAAGTGGGAAATTATATCGTTAAATTTGTATGAATTCAATGTGTCTATAATATATTGTATGTAAAAATACAATACTATATTTCTTTTTCGGCCGTTAGAGGGCGACGTAAAGGTCCCGTGATTTGCTATTTGAAGGTTGGTTAGATATAAATGGAATTACGAGAAGCTATCAGGGAAGGAGGGCGACACTCTCGTAAGCTCCACGCATTTTTCACGGATAGCCTTGCTTGTTCAATATCTTTCACTGTGCTGCTGCAAGTTGAGGATGCGGGTTACCATGGCAACCTTATGGTCGATAAGTGGCTCCTTGATGTTCGAGAAGTTCTAGTTGTGACAGTTCGGTTGTGTAGACATGAAGACAGAAAGTCTTTATTCCTGTTTATTGAGATATATATTATCGTGCCTCTATTAGACTTTACTAACTGGTGACTGTGTTTAATGAAATAATTTTAAGTCAGAATATAAATTAACTTTCATGAAGTTCAAAAGAGTGCATGTTCCGAAGGTGCGGCCGCTTATGAGAAGATCTTTAAAGCGTGCACTGCGACTGATGCCTTCAATGTTACTTCTTCTCTTCGTCTTTTGTCTGATTGTTGTAACTCTTCTTCAGATTGCTGTTATCCATGTGCACAGACGCGCACAGTACGTACCGAAAGAGCAGAGTGTTCCCGTAAATACACTTTCTCCTGTACAGAACAAAGTGAAACCAACAAATGTTGTTGTTAAAATACCTAAGCCAACTCGGAAGCGGCAAGAATCAATGAGGATAGCCGCTATCTTGGACAACAAAGCTCCGTCCATCAGTAATAACAAGCTGATTCTTCAAACACATACAAATATGGCCCGGTTACTACAGATCGTACACTTAATATCATCTAAGAGAAACCATCAAATCAGGACGTCAAAAACAAAAGAAAGCAGTTTCGAAAAGAAACTGGTATTCAAAGAGAATAAAATTACAAACCAGACAAAAAAAAGGTCTCACCTAGGTAATTCATTAAAATATATAAATGTGTTGGGCAACTCAAAAAAGAAAACAACTCTCAACGTAAATCCGAAAGAAGGTCCATTCGGTTTAAAATCTGCAACTATATTGTGCTCTGCTGTGCCTTCTGGTATAGGTAAGAAGTTCAATTGGTATCAGTTTCTTTGTTATAAGGCTAAAGAGAAGCTTGACGCTAGAACTTACTGATGTTTCTCTGAATCATTTTAATTGGAAAGATAACGTAATTAGTGTTTAAAATATACATATCAACACTAACTTTAGTGCAAGTTTAAAGGTTTAAAGAAGGCTTAAACTGAAGATGCTAAAGATTCTAAGCTAAGAAATGTGTAACTATGAAGCAAAAACTTTAAGAATCTAATGTAGCTACACTATACCAGCAAAGGCCTAGTTAATATATGTTTCGTATTCTTTACCATATAGGTGCATTTAGTTATTTCTAATGAGAATGCATATAAACGTTCTGGGACAGTAAAAAGTGAATGTAAAATAAAATTGGAATGATTTTCGACAACAAAATTGTGAACCTCAGTTTCAAATGGAAAGCAACTGCATTTGTATGTTTCTACAACAGACAGTTTCTGTCCATTTGAAACTTAGGTTCATTATGAATACTCTGCATAAATAACCTATCAGAAATTGTGATTTTCTTAGTGCTCAAAAACACGCCATCTCTACTTACTGAATAGGCTATCCTAAGTAATTCTTTATTTGATAACATGTAGAGTAATCTAAACAATAATTCATGTAAAAAAAGTATAAAAATCTTGAAAAATAACCAATTTGCTAATGAGTACAACACTAATTAATAAACCACTAAAATGCACGGGATATTTGAATTTATTATTTTTCGAAAACAAATATTTCTACATCAATACAAAAATATGCTACGTTGTTTGTTTGATACAGGCCTAAACTGAGAATAATAATAACAATCAAACGATCAGACGTCAGTTTCTGTTTTGTAGTTGGTTCAGTATTTTGAGAAATTTCACAAGTTAGTTTTAAAAGATGTAGAAAAAAACGTAGCATATAATAAAAAATATGATAGAAGCCACTAAATTTAAGTCATTTTAACCTCACTTTTTCTGCCTTATACTTCTACTTGTATAAAGTATCAAATTTCAACTTAGCAACTGAGTTGCTAAGGCCACGCTCAATCATAAATTCTAAGGAAAATAACCGCCAATAAAAGACGATAAATTATAACTATAAAAAATGACAATATTGATTAAACTAAATACATAAAGAAGTGGAAGTTTATATGAACAGCTTATATTGTTCAACTATAATTCTTCATTTGCTAACATATAGAGTAATCTGAACAATGATTCATGTAAAAAAGTGCCCTCTCCAGTGGCAGAGCGGTATGTCTGCGGACTTACAACGCTAGAAACCGGGTTTCGATACCCGTGGTGGGCAGACCTCAGATAGCCCATCGTGTAACTTTGTGTTTAATTTCAACAAACAATGTAAAAAAAGTATAAAAGTCTTGAACAATAACCTATTTACTAATGAGTACAACACTAATTAATATTGACTAGAAATGTATTGTTGTTTTTTCAAGTTATGTTTATAAAAACGTGGAACTTTTATCCACATTCATATTTAAATGTCCCCCGGTGGAACAGTGTTAAGTCTACGGATTTATAACACTAAAATCAGTTTCGATTCCTCTCGATGTACACAGCAAATAGCTGATGTAGCTTTGCTATAAAATACACAATCCACATTCGTGTTTAAGTATTATTTCATATCTGTTAAACTATAATGCACCTAATGACATTTGACGCAGCTACTTTCCGGTCATTTAATGAACCTTTTCTGAGAGAGCTAACTTGACTTATTTCATAAGATTTTACTTGACACAATTACTATCTAGTCATTTAATGAACATTTTAGTTTGACTTTGTTACAGGTAGCAGACTTTTTAAATAATATAAAAATAAATCACTAATTTAATGGGAAAAAATATGCATGAACAGTTTCGTAATTTCTCACTTCTTGAAAACTTCGTTCGCCGGTGGGACAACAGTAAATATATGAACTTACAACGCTAAAATCCAGGGTTTGATTCCCCGCAGAGTACACACGAGATATCCCAATGTGGCTTTGTTCTAAAACAATCTTGAAAGCTTGTAATTTCTGTAACATATAAATTATTTCAATTTGGTACGCTTCTTACAACAACCGAATATCCCAGTTATTTTTCTTTTTTAACTCCAAACGAATTAATTTGCTCACTAAAAATGAGCTCTTGGCTATAGGAAACGTAGTTGTGTTTTATTTTTACATTTAATTTTTTATCGAAAACCATAACTTTTAGTTGTAGTTGCAACGTTTAAAAAGTATTTAATGGAAGTTTGATGAGTGATATAGCTTTAATCACCCTTATAATTTTCTAGTCAAAAACCAGAAATATGTTTACATTATTGATCAGGTTTGAAAGTAATGTGAAAAAAAGTGAACGCGACCCACTAGATTACTGGATCGTGTTTTTTGTTAAGGGATGAGAAAAGTAGAGGATATCTTGCTTTCACTGAAGATATACATCTATCGAGAAACGAGAGAATCGCTTCAGAAGGACGGGAAAACACGAGAAAAGAATCAGAAAACTTTAGGGGAACTTTCATTGTTTTAACATTGTTGTATTTCAAATTCTCACCCAAATCTGCACAATGATATTTGTACATAACGAACCCTAATTTTGAAATGATAGACTCGAGGGAAGGCAGCTAGTTAATAGCACCCACCACCAAGGTTTGGGTTACTCTTATATAACTGAATAAGCGCATCAGACAGTCACTTTGTGTACACCCACAACCTCAATGTGTGGAACGCGATTTTTCTGCAAGGGGACGCGAACATTAAACCCTATGACCACTAGATCTCGCTCAACCCATTTTCGCAAGAAAAGACAAATAACAAAATTTGAAGTTAATTGAGAAATCACCAAATATTAAGTCTAAAATATACCATTCTATATAAAATAATCTGAATAAAAATGAGGAGAAAACTAAAAAAAAGATTTGTTTGTTTGTTTTTAATTATGCACAAAGCTACACAAGGGCTATCTGTGCTCTGCCCACCACGGGTATCGAAACCCGGTTTCTAGCGTTGTAAGTCCGCAGACATACCGCTGTGCCACTGGGGGCTAAAAAAAAAGAACAAAGAATTAGAGCAGAATGAAATTTATTAGAAACAACTGACTATAAAAATAATCTCGAAAAGTTTGCGAAAGTAGTCGTGTGATAAAACATTTTGATAACTGTTCTCAATTTTGGATTGTTTTTTTCAAGCACAATCAACAGTCAGAATCGCATATAGCAGTATTCCTACTATAAGTTCATACGTTAGTCTAAGAGTCACTTTATGGAAAGATGGCATAGTGATAACGTAATACAAGCAACATTGACGTTAGTGCTTAGTTTTTTTTTATAACTTTCGAATTTTTTACGAAGCTCAATACACAACTATTATTTAAAAAAGTAAAATATATAGAAGTACTTGGGTGATAATCATTTTACCTATAGTATGATGTAATTTTTTAAAATGACCGAAAAACTACACTGAAACGAAAATAGTTACATTCTATGCTACTTTTCATATCGTGACAATTTACAAACCCCGAAAAGACAAAAATCTAGTTTATTACACAATCAGGAAAAGAGGTACATGTATAAACAGGAAGATCGCTACACAGGTTGCCAATGAGAAGGAAATAAATTGATAGAAAATTACAAAACATTTAGGTAGGTATTAACTAATAAGCATACAGCTAGATTAATTAAAGAAAGATAACCTGGTGTGTAGATAGGAAAACAAAGAGCTGTTTAGTAATAATATATAAAATAAGTAGATGGAGTGGTTTTAAAAAAGAGAGATAGAATATTTTATAGACAGACAGAGGAACTGACAAGTTATAAGAAAGTTACTTACATGATTGTAGATGGTTAATTCTGAGAAAGATAGATATATTAATTAAAACTAAAAATAAAGAGCAACGAATGAAATATTGTAAGTAGATAAGTTTTACACTGGACACAATTATTGCAATTAGTGATAAGTAAGGAGTTAATAGGTGAAAAGCTTCCAAACCTGACACATACCCAAGCGATGGCGAAGTAATTAAAGGTTGAGAAGTTTAAGATTTTCACATACACATTGCCACCGATAGCCAACCAATTAATAGGTAATAAAATTTTAAACTTAATGCATACATTTCAAGTAAATGTTACTTTACTTGAAGAATAAATTTAAAACAATAACCTCAGAATAAATGTTGATTAATTTCTAAACTTAATACATACATTTTTAAGGTAATAATTAGGAATTAATTGTGAAAAGTTTCTTAACCTGAAATATAAGTTTCAAAAATAACTAACAAACCAATTTTTGAAGTACTTTCCAGTGTTTTCTTTAAAACTATGTTTATTCAAAAAAACTTCCTGCAAGTTAATATGGTTTCGAGGTAATATTTTATTTATAACGGCTTTTAAATCGGTTTTCTATAGAAATCTTAAGCCCAATTGCTTCTTTTTTTTTAGAACATTCTGTTATATTGTAAATGTTTGTTACAAATTAAAATTTTCCTAAATAATGTTTTGAAATGATATTTCAACGAAATAAAAGCCACATGATGAATCACGTCTGTCAATATACTGTTTTAAATCCGAATGACCTATTAGTAGCCAGCTACCAGTTCACCATTCGAACATCCGAAGGCCAATGATCAATGACCAAGAAACCAAAAAAATTGGTTACCTTGGAAATAATGTGTGATGTATACATAATACAACTAGACAATGTTCTTTTATAATTAGTACATGCGATGTCTTCTTTATCGTATTGTTGCTAAGTGCTCTGTTTCATAACAATGAATAAAATAAACTTGAAAACACAAAATATATATAAGATATGATTATTTAAACCGAAAACGTTACTTGCATAGAAATATATAACCAATTATGCTTCTTTTCAGTGAGAACAATTTAATTATTACAGACGTTTCCACCGTGCCAGAATATGTTCGGTGTAACAAATATATCCTTATAACCGCATAACTACACCTAAATTCAAAATATCAGTAACAAATTTAAAAGATTTTTCTCATGTGTG